CACGTCACAGCGGTCACGTGATCGGGAAAGGTCCTGATCGAAAGAGGAGATCGGGACCTTTCCGTGAGTACCGGACATTTGTGCTAAGAGCAAGCAGGGCGCGTGCTCTCAGCATGTTTTTTTTTTTTTTAATAGAATGCAAATGTGCGGCCACTCGGCGTCTAGGCCCAGACGCTGAGAGGCCGCACATTTGCATTCGGTCGGTGCAAAGAGTTTAAAGTGAAACTTCCCCTTTTGGATGGAGCTCTGGCCATACGTGGAACATTTGCCTGGTTTGACAGGGACTGGCTTAATTTCGATCCATGTATGGGAAGACTGGTTGTACGTAAGTCTCCTAAACAACCATTGCTGGCAAAACACTGATCATTGTATTCTGATGGCGGGGAAGGCTGCCCACTGCCTGAATACAATTGCTCAGTGGGAGGGATTCCCTAATCCACATCAATGTCTGTGTGTGTGTGTGGGGGGGGGGGGGGGGGACAAAGGCATTTTCTTTCATTCAACCAGCTGGCTAAAAAAAAAAAAAAAAAAAAAAACGCATTGTGTATGGGCTGCCTTAGTGTAGAAAAAATAAACTGATGTGAAGGCCTCAATTTTGCATTGTTGCATGACGAGTGTAATTATGATGAATACAAGTACTTTTTCATTGAGTACATCCAGGCAATTTATGTGCATTTACATGCTATTTCTTCAAATCAGTAATATTTTCAGCCTCTATAAAAGGACCTCAAAATGCAAAACTAAGATATACTAATATGCAATATTTACCAGCAAAATATACTTGTACATGTCAGCTTGTTTCTACTTCCCACTCTAATTCCTTTTGTGCACAATGTTTCTGTAATGTTACAAAATGTTCCTTCTTGGATAGTCACAATGAGTACAAGAATAATAACACATTCTGAGAACACGGAGAGTTTTATTGATGAAAGCTGTGACATGGAACATAATGTGATTTATAGAACTGGTATAGACATACAGTGCAGTATAACACATTCATTTCTTCCTAATGTTGGCGATGATTCCATGTTGGTGTAGGTTTGTCTTGATTGCTGCAGTCCAGAGGCTCATTGTGCTCTGTGATGCAGTTATTTTCATTAGAGAGGAGGCTGTGCTTCCAATAATATTGTGTCCTGACACAGAAATCCTCCCATGTATTCTAGATTAGAGCCTATTCTAGTCAATACCTTCTGATGCCCTCTCCTGCCTTAAATTACTGAAACAACATTGCTGGACCAGGTTAATGCAAACATATAGCATTTCATCTAAACTTAGAAATGCCAATTACCATTTATGAAATTGCTGCCTGAGTAAATATAGCAGCCAGATAATTGAATCATAGAAGTGTGCCCTTAGCTGCACTGGTGACTTCTGGTGACTTTAGCTTACATTTCTTTGACAATTAATTAAATGCATATACATTGGATATATAGGTATTTTATTTTTTAATTTAGGTAGTGCACATTTTGCTTTATTACTGTAATGTTGCTTTCAGAGTAATTGTAGTCAGTTCATGCTAAGGCCCCATGCACATTGGACGTTTGCTCAGCTCTTCTGAACGCCTTTTCTCCTGGCAAGAGAAAAGCAGCATAAACACATTTAAAGCTACATTTGCAAACACGTTTAGGTGAGTCAAGCTTTTGGGCATTTATTTATTCTATTGGCCAGAATATTAATTTATTCTGGCCATTAAAATCACATACTAAACACGACTAGCCTTTGGATGCGATTAGGCACGCTGACCATTTTTCCTATATGTACAGTACATTGACACATCAGCAAACTTGAAGGGGCATTTAGAGGCAAAATAGAAAAAGTCAATTGCCCTTAAAATCAGTATTTTTGATTCCCAGTGTGCATGAGGCCTTAAATCTAGTGTATGTATTGCCAGCTTTTGGCAGGGGGCACATGTCCCTGACCTACAGGTTTTTGATTTTCATCCACATCATCTATAATTGTAAGGGTTTAGACTACCTCACTATATATAGAAGAGAAGTATGGCCAAAAAAGCTGGCAGGAGTGCACTTACGTTTGCTTTTCATCTATTACCTGCAATCAGCTGACGTGGCAGACCCACTTCAGGATCTGGTAGGATCCTGACAATATTATCAAGATCCCCCTGGCTACCTGATTGAGCCTGGGTTCATATATGTGTGGGTTCGGTTTGCAGCGCGATTTGTAAAAGTGTCTGGTGCTATTTTGTTCACCAGTTCAGGTGCCATTCTAATGCAAATTGGTAAAGTGTATGACATTGCAAGTCGCACCTGAACCTGACTGAAAATGGCACAGGATTCTTTTAGAAATCTCACTGCAGCCAAAAACATACATGTGAATGGCTCCGTAGAAAAGGATTCTGGTTATGCGAATCGGATGCTGTTCAAAACGCATCCAATTTCCACATATGTGAACTGGGTCTGACAGCTGACTCTGCATTTCAACACGTGGCTGAGATCCAGAGCCAGCTACTCCTTCCCCCTCTTCCGTCAGTGATGGAGGGGCAGAGCAGAGACTGGCGACTGATGGCCACAGCTCTCCACTCTGAGTGAGCTGAGTAATCAGCATTCATGCGATCACTCATTTCTCTGTCTTAGAGCTGGCGGGAGACACCTGTTAGCATCACACTGATGAATATGTATGTTTTAAAAAAAAAAAAAAAAACATATTTCTCGTTTAATACTGTCTGGTTTGTATGGTGTTCAGAGCACTGAAAATGAGCCTTGCCATGGTTTTCTCAAATTTCCCTTTTCTCCCTTTTGGTCTGTTAAGCATTCTTTGCATCTGTTCAACTGGTGCCAAAAAATGCTTTAGTTTACCCAGGCAGAAATCTTGTAAGAGATGACTTCCTGTACTCTCTGTGCTTGGACTGCTATCTGTTCGTATTGTTCCCTGCTATCTTTGTGGTTTACAAAACTACCTCTCCCCCCCCCCCCCTTATGGAGAACAGAAGGAAGTGTTATGTAGGCATATCACAGTGTTATGTAGTCCTAATGCACTCCTTGTCCTAGTTTGACAACACTGCCCAATACAGTTGTCATTACAGGATAGGATGGCAGGTCAATGGCAGTATTACCAGGTGTAAAAAAAAAAAAAAAAAAAAAATGCAGCCACCACATCTAGGGACCTGTAAGTCGCAGTACTATCAATTTTTGTTCTTGGGTACAGATAAATGTTACAGTATAGTAGACTTTCTGATGAGATTTACTGCCATTCTAATTATGAAGGGAGAAGTACAGCCAAAGCTCATTTGGCTGTACTTCCCCTGTGGATCAAAGGAGTGCAGTTCATTCTGCAGGCCTGTGACCCATTTTCAGCCATCGGCTGACATCACAGAGCTCATTTGGCTGTACTTCCCCTGTGGATCACATGAGGGCAGTTCATTATGCACTCCTGTGACCCATTTTCAGCCATCGGCTGACATCACAGAGCCAGTCCATGCTGGGGAAAGGTCACGAAATAACGCCCCATACTTCTCTTAATTTTCCTTGCTGGAGTATCTGTATAACTCTTCTGGACAATAATATGCCTCGTTTGAACATACATTCTGTGACCTCATGCATGAAAGTGTCAGAAACTGATCATGATGTCCAGAATAACATTGTTTTGTTTATTATTCATGATTCCTTTCATGTTTCTAGTGCAACTTGCATTTGAAAGAAGGGTAAACCTGAATGAATGCCGTAGACAACATTCACTTCTCTTGATTACCATAGACACCCAAATCTTGGCTACACTGTGGCCCATTATATAATTGTTTTCCCTTATTTCCACATGTTCATTCATAAAGACCCAATTATAATATGTTCTGTCATATTGGATGATCCTGGCATATACTATTGTTAAAGTGGAACTGCACTGCATCTGCGCACCACAAACCAAAAAATATATTTCACTGTTAACATTCAGAGCAAACTCCCTCATCCATCCATGTCTCCATGCTTTATTTTGCTGAGAAAAAAAATTTTGAAAACAACTCCTGGCATTTCTGGCCGTGGCAGATGACTCTTGTAGCGTTTACTTTCTGGAATCCATCTGCCCTTTGCTCAGTTATTGGCTGAGCTGAGAACCCTCTCTCCCCTCCTGAAGACTGCTGGGATTTATGACATTTGCCTAGGCATGGAAACTAGGAAGTAAATGAAGAAATATAAAAAGAAAGTTTAAAATAAGTAAATATGATATACTTTCCTATCCATTTACTATGGCTAGCAGCATAAGGATCAAAAATAATCCATGTTGATTGAAAGAGTGAAGTTCCGCTTTACAATTGATTAAGGCCTCATGCACACTGAATGTTTGGCCATCTCTCTTAGTCACCTTTCCTTATGGCAGTGATAGTTTGGCAGAAAAAAAAAAAAAAAAAAACGCTTGTAAATGCATGTAACACGTTTAGACACATCATGAGCCTATGCATTAATTAAATTGGCTATAATAATTTATTCTGGCCATTGAAATGAACACCCCATTGCTAAACACACCTAGCGTTAATGCACGTTTAGATGCATTTACACGCATCAAGCGGTTTTTTCTGCCATAACACCGTTGCTCCTAGATGCCCTCACAGTGTTTTTGTTTTTTTTTCTGCCTCTAAACTCCTCCTGAATGTTTGTGTGCATAGACACATAGGCTAACATACAGAGGCATTTAGATTCAGAAACTGAGAAAAACCAGCAGATGCCCCTAACAGCAGTGTTAAAACTGTCCAGTGTGCAAGAGGCCTAAAGCAAATAGTAGAAGTGATCCTGGGTCAGTGAAATGAATTGTGAATGTAATTCTGGGTGTTTAATGAAAAGGAAAAAATGTTGAGATGTTCCAATTTTGACCAGGCAAAAGGATAGGCAAAAGGATAGTTTCTAACATGAATTTGTTTAGCTGTAACAACTGAAATACTACAACCCATTGTTTCATTGCGAATTGTATTGTCCTGTGTTTTCCCACCATCAGCTGTGAAGTAGAAAATGGAAACTGACATTTTTTTCTCTCCTATTTTTATTTTTTCTCAATAGCAACTATTCAACTGCCAGTCTCTGCACAAGTTGAGTTTGCCAGACAATGACCTAACAATATTGCCAGCATCTATAGCAAATCTCATTAATCTCAGGGAACTAGATGTCAGCAAGAATGGTAAGTTCCTTTACAAGTTAATTGAATTGTGTGTCAATAAGCTCTTAACTATTGTAGTTGGCACAATAAGTGCGTGTTCTTGTTTTCTTTGTTTGATTCTGATTTGTGCCCCTCGATTCAGTAATTTATTTTGTTTCTGTTGATTGTATTTACAGATTACTTTCATTTAGGCATGCGGTATAATATGCTTTACTGACAACAAGTCGTTTAAATTCTACATGATGGGAAAATAGCAAGCTAAGATTCGTTTATTAAATGGCAGCAGTGATGTCTTTCAGTGTGTGTTTCTGAAAAAAAATATACCGTTTGCTAACAGGACTATAGTCAGGCATACTTTTCTGTTATTTAAGCCTCATGCACACAGGGCGTTTTTTGCAGCCACTTTTAGGGGCGTCAGGCATTATATTTTTTTAATTTAACAGCTTCTAAATGCCCCCCCATGTTATTCTATGTGTCCATGCACACATAGACTTCAGATTTTAGGCATCCCCTGCAACAAAAAAAAATATCATTTTTGATGAGAGACTCCCAGTGGGAAATCGCATGTACAGGAATTCAGAGCATACTATTTCCTCATTAGATCACTGCAGGTGCAGCAGCTGATTGATGATTAGAAAATCACTCCCATTCACATTCATGGACAAACAGCTGTTTCTTCTGAATAGCATTAGTTGCAACAAGTTTACTGTACTGTAACAAATATAAAGTAGGCTCCCAATGTGGCTACAAACATGGAAATACACTTTAGGATAGGTTCACACCTATGTAGTTTTGCTTTTGATCCATTTCTGCAGTGCTTTTTGTTGTGTTTTTTTGCATTTTTTGCAAATTCATTTGCGTGTTTTTGATGAGTTTTGTGGGTGTTTTGCCAATTTATTGCTGGTCAGATTAAAACATATATCCAAAATGCAATACATGCATTTCTGCAGCTTCTCCATTGAAGCCCGTTGAACCAAAATGCAACTTTTTGTGTTTTAAAAAAAGTCCCTGACCCTTTCCAAAAAATGCATCAGCTGAAAACGCGGAAATGTGAACCTGTCCCATAGGAAATCATGTTAAATGTTCTGTAGTGCGTTTCTGCAAAATGCACCGGAAAACACTTAGGTGGGAACCTAGACCTCATACTGCTACCTTGGAGATTACATTGGTTTACTGGCTGTGCTGATAATAAAGATTTCCAATTCTGCCTTTTCCTGTGCTTTTCCTGTGTTTTTCTATACACAGTTCAGGTAGATGTCTGAATCTGGCTTCACTGAAAGACAGAAGATGAGATTAAACTTTATAGGACTTGTAATAGGAGAAGTGAAACAAATATTAACATTCTAATCAAAATGGAAGGAGAACTACACAGCTGAAAGTCTGCTACCTTCCAGCAGCTCTATTAGATGCATAGCCATGGCGGAGTTTTTCAGTACTTAAAGAAAATGTATAGTTTTATCAGTGCTTATCTAAAATAGATCCGTTTTATATAGATAATATTATTGATAAATATCAATAAATGTTCATTTAAAACAATTCCTTCTAAACATAATTTCTAATCATATAAAGTATATACACAGTAGTAGTTATATTTTCTCATTACAAATGCAGGCTCAGCTACCTGCTTCTTACAGCGATACACGGTGTAGAAGGAGACAGTGTAGCTAGTGGCTGTTTTATAAATCTTTATATTTAATAGAGGAATGAGGAAGAGAAAGTTAAAAAGCTGGCATTACTTTAATTCTCCATTCCTCTGAAAGTGACAGCTTTTTTTAATAGAACCTTTACTCAATGTCACTGACCTAACTTCTCCCTGACCTCTATATTCTAAAGCTTTCAATACACACATTGTTTTTGTTGAGGCCCTGTTCACACAGAATCGCCGTGATTATGCCACGATTCCCAAACAACTCTGCACAAATGTCAAATCGCACACACACCTGTTCTGGTTACATTCATTTTCAATGGCACCAAAACATAGTGGGATGCTGCCATGATTGTTGTGCGTTAAACCACGCAAACCTTGTCGGCCAAAAGAAGCTCCTGTTCCTTTTTGAGCAACAAGCTTTGCATGATGCGGTTTGCCATTATTGCAGCGCTATTTAGAGCAGCATTGCACATTTTTGCAGCATTTGTTAGGAGTTGTTCAAATAGCGTTTTTATGTGGCCAAAAGATGTTTACATGTGACATCATAAGAGTGTTGTCGAAAAGTCCTAGGTAGATAAAACAAGAACAACATAATCATGCACATGGCTGCTGTACACAGACGTTTTGTACCTGTAGCACCCTCCTAGTTAGGTGCTAGGATGTGTATAGTTGGGTTAAGCATAGCTGGGTTTCTCTGCTTATCAGAGAGGCTGTCCGTTAAATTCAATGCGGTATTCTGCTTAACACAGTGCTGTGATTGATAAGTCAGGTCTGCTCAGAATGCTCTGTTGTTGTTTGGGTTTGCCTGTTTTGGTTCTGCCCCCCTTAACCGCTTCCGGACCGCCCTATAGCAGAAATACTGCTACAGGGCGGCACGGGTGTGCAAAATCACATATATATATATATATACGTGATTTTTCAGCTCCATGTAGGGGGAGCGCGTACGCCCTATCCACGCCGCCTTTTGCGGTTGTCAATCACCGGGTCCCGGCCGGTGATTTCCGAGGATGTCAACTCAGGCACACTGCTTTGGATGGCTGTGCACAGCACAGCCAACCAAAGCAGTGTGATTACAGTGTAGCACACTGACACCGCCCCCTAGTAAAACACACTCCCAGTGGAAGTCGTAATGACGAAACACGGCAGGGGGTGACCATCCAAGATGTCAGCGTGCACGCCGGGATCACATGACCGCTGCTGCAGGATTCCTTACACACAGGCGTGTAGTGAGATTGTCACTTGCTACCTAAACGGCTAGTTGGAATGTTCTTTGAAGTTTTTACCCATATAATGTGCTTTTTTTATCTGACCCAATTCTGATGATGAAGCTGGAGGCAGATTGCTCTGTATCTATTGGAGATAAAGAGCTTCTTGGTATTTTGTATTCCTGGTCTGAATCCAATCATTTAACATCAAGGAGGTTGATTTTCCCCTGCTGGTTAATCAACAGTATCTGGTGAGTGCATATTCTGATGGGGTGTTAATCACGGCAAGATCACTATGATGGTGGATGAGATTATCCGAAGGAAATACTGAAATAATTCAAATGAACTGAACTTTTTTCACATTTGTGTACTTTGGTGGAAGTTTTCATATTTTATATTCTATTTTCTAGTATTTAAATTTTTATTTATGTTACAATTTTTTTATATATTATATATTCTTTAGGTGTAATTTGTATACCTATTTTCAATACTGAGCGCTGTTTATGAGGATAGTTCTAACATTCATTTATTTCATTTTATTTGAAACAGCTGCTTTGTTAGAGTTTATTATACCTGATGATTTATTAAGAGTTTTTGACTCCATTTAAGAGATTTTTTTTAACATATAAAAAAGTCATTTTAACATATATTTATAAATGCATTCCAAAAAAAGTAGATTTATATTTTTAAAGACACACAGTATATTTGAAATGTATTTTTTAAAAAATATTTTTCATATATTTTGTAATAAAAACGCATTTTCACATATATATATAATATAGTGTGTATATATATATATTATATATATATATATATATATCCGAGTGCTGGTTCTTCTTATTTTAATCCAATACTTCAGGTGAAGGGGATACTGCACTCCCTAATTTACCTATTCACTACAGCAGAAAAAATAACTTTTTGAGAAGACCCAGTGTAGCACAAAAAACATGTAAGGACATATATACCTGCTGATGTGATGAATAAAGAAGTTTCCTAATCACTGTAATATTCTCTTCAGGAAGTGTGAAATAAAAGTTGTTACTTTACTAGAAGCACACCCTGTACTCTTCAATGTTGACTAGCCTATTTGAGTACCTCCCCTTCCCTGTACAGCAGGCAGCCACTCCCAAGGCAAGGCTGATTTCAACTATCATCTAACACATAAAACTTAAATCAAGATACATTTCAGGGTATTACAATAGTTGCCTTGAAAAAAATATATTGGAAATGCACCTGTGAAGTACAAGATGTTTTTATGTTTTGGTTTTTTTTTTTTAATACTATGCTGATCCTTGAGATTTCTTCAACTGTTTGTAAGATGGGAGTTGTAGTATTTGACTGCTAAAGGGCTATGATTGAAGAATGTCTGGCACAGACAGTACAGCTGGTGGAAAATTGTATCTTGCACGCTACCAATTGGTTTAATAGGTACAAGAGCTGGAAAATTGATGACCACTTCATGGAGCAGCTGGTTTTCTAGAAATTGAGAATGAAATTGCAATCAGTGTGAGATGATTGCTCTGCTGAGGGTGACTGACTTTTGGGTGTCAGTCACTTACCAACCTAACACATTGGCTTAGTGATCAGTGTTTTATTTTCTGCTGGATAAAAACTTAAAGTGAACTTGGCATGGCAGTAAAAATATAAAAGATTTTTCAGTGCACCCTTGGAGCTTCTAAACTCAGGTGATTCCCCAGACAAGCCTCATCCCAAGCTCCAAGCAGACGATCCAGCAGTGGGCCATTGGTAATGTCCCATAGTGTAAAGTGCACGATAGTGACCAATAAAGAAATGACCACATTGGATTGTTGGATGATGGGGGTATGTACTGTAGCTCCAGTTTGGTTTGTGCACCTGGTGAGCTTTTGCACCCAAGTGACTCCTCACACAAGAAGACTCGCCTCCAGCTTCAAGTCTATGCTCCAGCATTCTGAGTACATCTTGGAGATTTCAGCAACAAATAAGGAGAAGTCTGCACTGGATCGCTAGAAGACAGGGATGCGTACTGGCGCTTCAGTTTAGAAGTGCACCTGCTTAAGGGGGCCTCAAAAAAGTATGTTTGCGCTCCTTTGGTGATTACTCTTAGAGGGTTACTTTAAGCTAGCCATAGATCAGGGGTGTCAAATTGGCGGCCCTCCAGTTACGAAACTACAAGCATGACTGCCTTT